GCAGCTATGCCTTTGGGTTTTACTAGAAACATTCCAGGTGTTAAGTACTAACCCCCCCCCCACCCCCCCGAAAGCACCTGTAACTCACGATGAAAACAATATCCTTCACTTATACAACTTACCAAAAGTTTTATGGACATGACTAAACGTGTGCCAAATTTACTTACCTCATTTCATGGATTCACCCTGTGGTTTAAAGCTCATAAAGGGAAAAAAAAAAAAAGAAGAAAAAAACGGAAAAAAAAGAAAAAAAAAAGGGAAAAACAAGGGGAAAAAAAGGAAAAAAAAAAAAAAGGAACTTTGAAACCGATGCTGGGAAATGGTAATGTCCTCTCTTTGAAACCATGAGCAGAGAAAAACGTAACGGTGAAATGTTGAGTTTCATTATAGGGGAGAGTTGAGATGGTGGAGGAGTTCGGAAACCCACTGACGGTAAGTTTGCCAGGAACTCACGTGTCTGCATCGAGAGACTCCGGAACAGCTGCTTTGCGAGTGTCTGTTTTCTTAAAGCAAAACCTGTAGCTGAAGATCATTTGAAATGCAAAGTTACATTGCGAATTCTTTGTATCTCAGTTTTATATATTTTATAAGAACCTGGGATAAATTCTAAAAGAGTTATAAAAGCAGAACTAATCCGTTTCGTACATTTATTGCTATTGACTTTTCCTTTGAGTAGTTTCTTCAACGTTTGCGATGCAGAGCCTGTTGAAAGCGCTCTCCTATCATAGCTTTGGTGTTTCCTAAATGTCTAACCTTGCGATGCCAATATAGTTTGAGCTTTCAGAAGCAAAGTCATCCGTTTTAAATACAACTCTGAACCTTTCCTTTCATTCCATTCGTAAGATAAGAAAAGAAAAACCAACCCAACAACGGAGCGATTTGTGATCTCACCGATCAGGGCCGGATCGTATGTGACTGGACTTTATTAAGACAGCGTTAAGAATTGAACGCTAAATGTATTCTCAAAAGGCCTTATTTGTAACCCTACTCACCACCCCCCCCGCCCTCCAAGAGAATAACAAACCCAACAGATACCGATTTTCCTTGTGCAACTGAGAGCCTGTGCGGTTTGCTGCTGACTTCTTACGAAACCTTGATATGCAAGAGCTCACTGGGAGCTGTTGGGAGCAGAGGGATGCGAGGCTCGGACACGTTTATGCAATAGAAAACCGTGAGGAAGAGGAGGAGCCTTAATAGCAGTCGGACAGATCACAGTCTCGACATGGTCGTGAGCATAGAGGTGATGTTTCGCAGAGGACAGGACTAGGCTCGGGTTTCCGTACAAGTAGGTGGGTTTTGGGTTTTTTTTTTCAGCCCACGTGCGAGGCAAACCAGCAGAATTGTTTGAAGTTAATTCAGCAAAAAAGCAGCCCCAACACTAAAAATCAAAGCGGAGTTGCAGAGTGTCGATTTAGCATCAAAATGTTTTCAGCTTTTGCAGATCTCGAGGTATGGCTTAGGTGTGGCTTAGGCTCAGCTCTGCCGTCCCACAGAGGACAGCACAGTAATTGCATTGCGTTTTATTTAACAGGTGAAAGAAGGGACTCTGAAAAAAAGAGTTAATTCCAAAAACCATCCTGTAAGTTCATTTATTCCATGAAAAAATGAAATGCCGGCGTTGCCTGGAGTGAGTTGCTCCAGAGGAGAGCGGTCCCTGGGTACCCCGCAGACTGCAGCGGGTGGGAGTGGGGTGCAGCATCGGACCCTGCCTCTGGCACCAGGAAGGGAGATCCAGAAGATGCTCAGGATTTATTTTGGAGACAGAGCTGCGCTAGGGCTCCATCCCTGGCTGTTTGGCTTACCTGCAGCCACCGTGTTCTCCCCCGATTCCCCGGCAGTTGGCTTTCCGTAGGGTCACCAGACACTACAGGCTCCTGCTGCTGCCGTGGTGGTGGCCTATCCCAGTTTTTCAGCGTTCCTCCTGCGTGCTGCGGGATGAGGGGCTGCTGCTCCTACGGAGACAGGTCAGGTCCAGGGCAGGGCCCTTCTTTTTGACCCAGAACCATCATTTGAAAGCACATTTCGACTGGCCTGCACTGTGCTCGTTAGGCTTAACATTATGAATGCGCGACTCGTAATAAATTACCTTGTACTGAACCAGAATAGCAATATTTATTGCATTTGAGAAATGTGCAATAGGGCGTGAATATATGGCATAAACCGTATCTGTTATCTTACCGAATGTTGGAAATCCATGAATACCCAGCTAGGTGTTCCAGGACAGTGTTAATCACAAATACCAGCTGCCTTGTTGCTCCCTCCTTCAGTCCTTCTGTTGCTCCAGTTTCGCTGCCATCTTCGGTTGTCATCTCATGTCCTCCCCAAAAATCTCTTGGCCGGGGAGATGTTGAAGAGCCCACATCCCTCACGGTGCGGCACTGGCCCTTCTCTGCATCTGAAAAAGTGATCTCTCTGCTGACCCCAAAACCTGGAAATTGCTTGAGCCAACTGTTTGCCCTCCTCCCTTTTGATCTTCATAGAATCGCAGTATGGGTTGGAAGGGACTTTTAAAGGCCATCTAGTCCAGCCCCCCTGCAACGAGCAGGGACATCTTCAACCGGATCAGGTTGCTCTAAGCCCCGTCCAACCTGACCTTAAATGTTCCCAGGAATGGAGCATCCACCACCTCTATGGGCAACCTGTGCCAGTGTTTCACCACCCTCATCCTAAAAGATTTCTTACTGAAGTCCCTCTCCGCAGGGCCGTTCTCGATCCCTTCATCCTCCAGCCTGTGTTGATGCCAGGGGTTGCCCCGACCCAGGTGCAGGACCTTGCACTTGGCCTTGTTGGACCTCATGAGGTTCACTTCTCAAGCTTGTCCAAGGTCCCTCTGGGTGGCGTCCCCTCCCTCAGGCGTGTCAACCGCACCACTCAGCTTGGTGTCATCTGCAAACCTGCTGAGGGTGCACTCGATCCCACTGTCTCTGTCATTGATGAAGATACTAAACAGTACTGAGGGACACCATTCATCACTGATCTCCATTTGGACATTGAGCCGTTGACTACTACCCTCTGGATGCGACCATCCAACCAATTCCTCATCCACTGAACAGTCCAACCAATTCCTCATCCACTGAACATTCCACCCATCAAATCTCTCCAGTTTAGAAAGAAGGATGTTGTGGGCTACTGTGTCAAAGGCCTTACAGAAGTCCAGATAGATGACATCCATAGCTCTTCCCATCTCCACTGCTGTAGCCACTCCATCAGAGAAGGCCACTGGGTTGTCAGGCAGGACTTACCCTTGGTGAAGCCATGCTGGCTATCTCAGATCACCTCCCTGTCCTCCACGTGCCTTAGCACAGCTTCTAGGAGGATCTGTTCTGTGATCTTCCCAGGCACAGAGGTGAGGTTGACACGTCAGTAGATCCCAGCGTCCTCCTTTCTACCCTGTATAAAAATGGGTGCAATGTTTCCCTTTTTCCAGGCTCGAGGGACTTTACCTGACTGCCATGACTTTTCAAATATCATGGAGCGTGGCTTTGCCAATTCCCTCAGGACTCTGGGATGCATCTCGTCAGGTCCCATAGACTTATCTATGTTCAGGTTCCTCAGGTGGTCACGAACCTGAGCTTCTCTTACAGCGGGGAGGGCCTTTGCTCCCCCAGTCCCTGCCTTGTGGTCCATCTGCTCGAGAGGTGGGGGAAGAGAGGCTGCCAGTGAAGACTGAGGCAAAAATGCTGTTGAGTACCTCAGCCGCCTTCTCGTCTGCTGCTACCAGTTTGCCAGTCTTGCCCATGGTGGGGGACACGCTCTCTTTGACCTCCCTTTTCTGGCTGACGTACCTGTAGAAGCCCTTCTTATTATTCTTTGCCAAGTTCAGCTCCATCCACGCCTTGGCCTTCCTGACCCCATCCCTACACAACCAGCCGGCGTCCCTATGCTCTTCCCAGGATACGCGTCCCGGCTTCCACTGCCTGTGCATTCCTTCTTGCCCTTTAGTCTGACCAGCGGGTCTCGACTCAGCCGTGCCGGTCTCTTGCCTTCCTTGCCTGATTTCTTACACCTGGGGATCAAGAGCTCTTGCGCTCTATGGAAAGCGTCCTTAAAGATCTGCCAGCTCTCTTCTGCTCCCTCGCCCTTGAGGGCAGTTTCCCAGGGGGTCCTGACTTAACTCCTTGAAGAGCTGGAAGTTTGCTTTCCTAAAATTCATCTCTACCAGCCTATCACTACCTCAAGGTTTTCATCGCTTCCCACCTTTGCCTCGCTCCTTGCCGTACGAGCTCGCCTTTTCCACTTGCCCTTCTTGTCAGTATTGGTGATTTCTTGTGTTTCACGGCGCTGCTCCCAGCTGTGGGAGGACCGGGACGTTGGTCCCATCCATCCCTGCCCACCATCCACACGCTCCCCATGCCACCCTGCATTGGCTCCATCTCGGCTCATCCTCTTGCCCAGTCCCCATGCACTTCCAGCCTCCTCTTGCATCTTCTAGCTGGGCTCCTGGCTGTTGGAAGCGACAAATCCCAGTCATGCAAAAGCCGTTTATTCTGCAGCATCCCTTAAAATGTCTTTTCTGTGTTGTCTCATTTCACTCCTGCTCTGGTGGCGTCTCGCTGGGCGCCCTATGAGAGGGCCGGTGCCGGTGATGCTGCTCTCCTACGCCGCGCTGTGCTGGCACACTGCGGTTTGGGCAACTTGGAATCGGCAGCAAAATTATTAGGAAGCAGAAACCGGCCGCGTGCAAAGGAAGGTCATGAGATCATCTGAGAGGAGACCACCGTGGGGCTCTCGCTCCACCTCCCAGCCGGAGGCGAGCAGGGGAAGGCGGCACTCGCCACCCTCCTGCCGGAGCACAGGTTCTCCGGCGGTACGGGGAAAGCATCCGACTGCGTCGTGCGGAGCGATGCCCTGCAGAAGGAAACCCTACAGTGACCTAGCAGTAGCCAGCCCACCCCAGTTTTGCTGGAGGTACTTGCATATAGAGGTTTTGTAAATAGAAAAATATCAGCGATGGGGATTTGAGTTACTAGGGTTTTTTTAAAAAAATAACCAGGTTTACGTCTTGCTTTTTTTAAGCATAAGAGGGTGGGGTTTTTTTGAAAAACCAGCTTGAGAATAATGACTCGTGGACCAGAGTTCGCCCGGCGTTTCGGGCAGAGGAGGTGAGCAGCAGCAGGCAGGGCTGTCCCGTGCTGGCACCGCTCCGTCCCGCCGAGGCCAGGGCTGCGCGGGGAGGAATCGCCGAGGCCGGGCTTCACCCGGCGGTGCCCGCTGTAGCGAAACCATCGCTGCGCCGCTTGCTCGTTTAAAGTCAGGATTGCTGTTATTTGTTATTATTTTTTTTTTCGGCATTACGGCTCCAGCGAGCCACAAACCAAAACAAAGATGTTTTAAGCTTTTTCATCCTTTCCCTGCTGGACCATATTCTTTCCCTGAGGTCCCGATCTAGCAAAGCACTCAGGTGGGAGCTCGCTCCCCGGGGCTCCTGCTCG